CAAATGTGGATGCCATGGTGCCATGGCCCAGCCCCAGTGGGGTTCAGAACCTGAAGGAGGATGTGTGGAATGGGTGAAAGAAGACCTGGACCAACTAGTGCAGCTCACACACCCTGGCACTGAGACACCTCAGGCCACCTGTATTGATTTACATCCATTCTCTCATTTTCTCTTGTACAATCTCTTTGTAGAACTTCCTATGTGTAACAATAATATGCACACTGTACTTTCCCTTCCTTCTCCTCCTCAGTCTCCGTGGTTTCCTGCTAACCCATAGACTGTACCAAGAAAGAGGAAACATGCTTCAGCAAGCAGTTAATTTCCCTCTAACCCAGCACACTGGTACATAACCAAGTGACCATGATTAGTAGTAATTTCAGTTATAGTATAGAGAGATGATAAACTACATACCCAGGAAATTCTGATTTAATTATTGGCACCAAGTATCTCCCCATATCCTAACCAGGAGATCTAATTCTTCTAATGCCCAAGGCTTTCAGCAGATGAGTAGCCTGAGTCAACTCCTGGTCCTTGCGTGGCTCACCTCTGAAGATTCCTATTAAGTCTTGGAATCAGTGATTCAGTAAGATCTTTCTAACCTTTTAATAATCACCTGTTGTTTGGACAAGTTGGTGGGCAGATTGTTGTCAGAACTAAGTTCCCAGCAGAAGAAAATTTCTGAACTTTAGCTGATGTACCCAGACCATGGCCTTGTGTTGACTCAACCACATCACCATCATTAGCAAACAGAGGAGTAGTGATTGGTCCCACTCTCCTGATGCTCAGAGACAAACAAGAATAACTCACAGTACAAGCTTTCTTTTTCTGATTCTGGGATAACATCTGTCACAGATAAAGTGAAAGTGAAGACTTCACTACCAAAGCCAAGAATGCAAACACAAGGCAAAGGTGAGCCAAGCGATCCCTCAGGAAAGGCCAGGAGATGCTGTGACTATCCCCACAGGTCCTTGCCATGTGGGGACCTAACGCTCAGGCCTTGCCACAGAGAGCAGTCTGCATTACACTCACTCACCTTTCCCAGCAGAGGCTTGGTCACCTCCACCTTTGTGTTTGGGGCATAAGTGTTAAGAATTGGCACAGCGTTTTGGTGGATTTTTGCTTTGAGTATGTAGTGTCCTTCCCTGTCTCTTTTGATTCATTTGGGATGGAAGTCTATTTTGTTAGATATTAGAATGGCTACACCAGCTTACTTCTTGGGTTCATTTGTTAGGAAAGTCTTTTTCCAACTCTTTACTCTAGGGTGATATCAGTGCTTGATTTTGAGGTATGTTTCTTGTATACAGCAGAAGAATGGATCCTGTTTTTGCATCCATTCTGTTAGTCTATGTCTTTTCATTGGGAAATTGAGAAATATCACTGGCTCATGATTAATTCTTGTTATTTTGTTGTTGGTGGTAGTAGCAATGTGTGTGCTTCCCGCTTTTGCCTTTGCTGGTGTGAGATTATCATGGATATAGTGAAGTTCCTTGGGTTGGAGTTTTCTTTCTACTATCCTATGTAGGGTTAGATCTGTAGGTAGATATTATTTAAATTTGACTTTATCATGAAATGTTTTCTCCATTATGGTAGTTGAAAGTTTTGTTGGGCATAGTAGCCTGGGTTGGCATCTGCTCTCTTAGAGTCTGCAGGACATCTGTCCAGGCCCTTCTGGCATTCAGAGTCTCGATTGAGAAGAAGTTGGGTATAATTCTAATAGGTCTTCCTTTATATGTTACTTGTTCTTGTCCCCTTGCAGCTTTGAATATTCTTTCTTTGTTCTGTATGTTTAGTGTTTTGATTATTATGTGGCAAGCAGACTTTCCTTTCCGACCCATCTATTTGGTGTTCTGTATGCTTCTTGTATCTTTGCATCTCCTTTTTTAGGTTAGCAAAATTTTCCATGATTTTGGAATATTTTCTGGGGGTGGGAGGGCTGGAGAGATGGCTCAGAGGTTAAGAGCACTGACTGCTCTTCCAGAGGTCCCGAGTTCAATTCCCAATAACCACATGGTAGCTTACAACCATCTGTAATGGAATCTGATGCCCACTTCTGGTGTGGTCTGAAGACAACTACAGTGTACTCATATATATATATAATAAATAAATCTAAAAAACAAACAAAAAATATTTTCTGGGCCTTCGAGCTGGGTTTATTCTCCTTCCTCTATACCTATTATCCTTAGGTTTTGTCCTAGATTCCCTAGATGTTTTGTTTTAGGAATTTTTTAGATTTAATATTTTCTTTGATGGATGTATCTATTTCTTCTATTGTATCTTCAGTGCCTGAGAGTCTCTCTTCTGTCTCTTGTATTCTGTTGGTGATGCTTGCATCTGTAATTCATGTTCACTTACCTAGATTTTTCCTTTCCAGAATTCCCTTAGGTTGTGTTTTCTCTGTTGCTTTTATTTCTGTTTTCAGGTCTTGAACACTTTTTAACTGTTTGTTTTTCTTAGTTTTCTTTAAGGGATTTACTCATTTCCTCTTTAAGGACCTCTATCATCTTCATAAAGTTGGTTTTAAGGTTTTTTCCTTGTGCTTCAGCATTGTTGGAGTTTTTCTGGATTCTGTTTCCTCTCTGGTCTTCTGGTCTGTGTGATCTGTGATTGAGGAAAGAGTCTCTGCCCAAGTTGGGGACTAGACTTCTGGTGGCTGGTCTGATCTCTTGTTGAATGGGACTGCCTGAGTTGGGGTCAGGAATTCTGGCGTTCTGCGTGACTTCTGGTCCAGGAGGGAGTTGTCTGCATTAGAGAGCTGGGATATGTCAAGGAAGAGGGGAGAGGGGTAGTATGGGTGGCCTAGCTGGTCTTCTGGCAGGTATAGCTTGTGGGTAGACTGAGGTGAGGGTGTCTGCCCAAGGGAATCAAGAGTGTAGGTGTGGTCCTAGGGCAGAGTAGACAGGCTGGGTAGTGGGCAGCCCACCTAGGCATCTGGTAGGTGTGGCCTGTGATGAGGCAGAGGATGCCTGCCTGAGGGAGCAGAGAGCTGGGGCAAGGGACGCAGGTGTGCCATGTGGTTGGGAAGCCCATGTCTTTTATTTAATATTAATTTTTGTTTTTATATGAGTTTGTCTTGTATGTATGCTCCATGTGTGCTGATGCTGCAGACGCTAGAAGGGAGCGTCCTATCCCCTGGAGATGGTATTGGGGTGGTTGTGAATGTCTGGCATGGGTGATGGGAATTGAACCCCAGTCCTCTGGAGGAGCAGGAAGTGCTCTCAATTCTTGAGTGTCTTTTCACCCTCCATTTTTTTTTTTATCATTAAAAGGAAAAGTTTATGTGATGGATGTTTTTTCTGCATGTGTGTCTGAGCATCACTTGTGTGCCTGGCACCTGAGGGATCTCGTGGAACTGGAGTTACAGACAGTCGTGATGTGCCATGTGGGTGCTGGAAATTGAACCATGGTCCTCTGGAAGAGCAGTGAATGTTCTTAAGCCACCTCTCTAGTTCCCAATGAGGGTGGAAAATAATATCTGCAGCAGCTGTAATAACGTGTCCTGGATCAGTCTAGATATTGGCAATTTGTGTCTTCATTGCTTCATTTTAGATTTTTGTTTGGTTGGGCAAGGTCTTGCCATGTAGCCAGGCTGGCCTGGAACTTGTGATCCTGCCATAGCCTGTCAGATACTACTACCCCACAACACCCAGCTGCTTTCCCTTTTTCTTGGCCAGTTGGTGCGACTGAGTTTTCTTCGGAGCAGCTTTGTGTCTGCAGCATCTCTCCACATTTCCTGTTTGAGATTGGTTTCTGCTCTCACCTCATGGCTTCCATCCTGGGGCTCGCACTTAAGGTTAGGGTGGAACCTGGGGTGAGAATATTTAGCTTCGGGTATCGTATCTCATTCCCAAAGTTCCAGAACTTAGTAGCCTGAGGCAGGAGGATCATGAATTTGAGGTTAGCTTAGGCTAGATGATGACACCCTGTCTCAAAAAGATAAGGAAAAGGAACAGGTTAGTACAGAAACTCTCTCTTAACTGCTTTAGTTGCTCTTTCTTAGGTATTCTCATTGTTAACTTAATTCCTTGCTGCGAGCTGTTTTAAGGATCTAATCAAGACCTCAGGCATGCTAAGAATTCTGTTTCAGTGGCAAGTGCCTGCAAGAAACAGGTCAAAAGAGGATTTATTGTGGCTTCTGGTTTCAGTAAATGGCCCTTTGATTGATCCTATCTTTTTAAATCTAAAGTGTCATTGAACATCATGGCTGTGGGAAGTGTGTTAGAGTCAGCTTGTCTCTTCTCACTTCCTGGCAACCATGAAGCAGGAAGACAGAAAGGGGCTGGAGACACGGTTTACCTCCTAGGGCTTGCCTTGGCAACCTGCTTCCTCTAAGTCCCACCCTCTGTTTTCCAGTAAGGCCACCATGAAAGTCCACTGGGAATTAATCTATGGATGAAGGGGGAGCCCTCATGATTCAGTCACTTGTCAGTGATTGGATGTGTGTGTGGGGGGGGGGACCTGCGGGCCAAGCCTTTGATTCCTGAGCCTTTCGGGGGCTTACCTCATAGCCAGACCTTGACAGCCACAGAGCTATACTCCCAAGCCCTTAGCATTTTTCCTTTTTTTTCCCCCTTGTAATTTCCATCTTTGCTGAAGTTCCTTATTTCTTCATTCATATTTGCCTTTTACATTAAAGACTTAGTGTGGGAATCATAGTTGCTTTAAATTACTGACAGCCTCAGGAGTTGGGAGTTCTGAGTTCTATTTTAGCCCTGGCTGTCCTAGAAACTCAATCTGTAGACCAGGCTGGCCTTGACTGAACTCACAGAGATCAGCCTGCCTCTGCCTCCTGAGCATGCACTACTACCACCTGGCAGATGGGGTATTTTATTCCTGCCTTTTTGTGTGTGCGTCTCATCATATTTGGTTGAAAGCAGGTATTGCCAGCATGCTTCCTCTAAAGAGGGGTTAGTATTTGTCAGGGGTGTGTAGTCCGGACAGATCATTCTGGGTATCAAGGAGGTCAGAGCTCTAATAACAAGGTTCCTTTTCTTTTCTTCCAGTTGTGCCTTTGCGCTTCTGTGCCTTTACCCCAACCCAGAAAATGATGGGGTCCCAGGTGAGTTGTTTGCATAGTACTCATTTGGTTTTTCATTTCACTTTTGGCATGTTATACTTATAGACAGTGAACTGGAAAGCTGGCTCAGTGGATGAAGGCCCTTGCTGTACCTTAGTGTGGATCATACAGGGTTTGCCCACACCAGTACCCATGCTATGAAGGGCAGACATGAGAGGATTGTTCAAGCTTTCTAGAAGTCTAACTCCATGGTCAGTGAGAACCCTTCTGTCCTTGACATTTTGGGGTTCCCTTGTGTTTTAAGGGGCTGACAGAAAAGTTCTTGTGCAGTATAGGCAACTCTCGAACTTCCTATGTGTTTAGAGCAGTCATTCATGACCTTCCTAAAAATATTAATTATGTACACAGTGTTCTGCTTGCATATATGCTTGCACACCAGAGGAGGGCGCCAGATCCTACTATAGATGGTTATGAGCCACCAAGTGGTTGCTGGGAACTGAACTCAGGACCTCTGGGCAATCAGTGCTCTCAACCTCTGACCCATCTCTCCAGCCCTTTAATATATACAGTCCCAAATCTTGTGGTGACCCCCACAACCATAAAATTAGTTTTGTTGCCACATTAATTTTGCTACTGTATGTAAGTTATTTAGTATAAAAATTATGTAAATATCTGTGGTCTTGGGCAAACCCAGGAGTCATTCAATCCACCATCCATGGGGGTTGTGACACACCAGTTGACAGCCACTGATTTAGATGAGGACCCTGAGTCTCTGATCTGCCTCTCTCCCGAGGTTGAGGATTACAGGTATGTGTCACTGTCCCTGGTCCATGCTGTGCTGGGGATGGAACCTAGGTTTTGTATATGCTAGGCAAGCACTCTACCAAGTGAGCTGCATCCCCGTCCACAGTATATTAGTCAGTTCTGAAAAGACATTCTAATTGCTTCCAAGTTTTGACAATGAGTGTGCAGGGTTTTTTTGTTTTTGTTTTTGTTTTTGTTTTTGTGGAAGCATAAGTTTTTAACTCATTTGAGTGGCTATCAAGGATTGCTGGACCACACAGTAAAAACATGACTAATTCTGTAAGACATTATTAAACTATCTTCCAAGTGGCTATAACACCTGCATTCCCAGAATCAGTTAGTGAGAATGTGCTTCCAGAACCTCACCAGCGTTTGGCACGGCCAGGATTCTAGATTTGTTCACTTTGATGAATATATAGCAGTATCTGGTTATAATATTCAGTCCCCTGATCCTCCCCCACCTTCCTGTGTGGAAGTGACCTGTGTGTGCTCTGTTGCTTATTGTTTATTCAGGAGGTTTGAGTTTTAAGAATTATTTGTACATGGTAAATACTTTTTTTTTTTTGAGACATTATATCGCCCAGCTGTCCTGGAGCTCACTATGTAGGCCAGACTGGCCTCAAACTCAACAGAGATCCTCCTGCCTCCGCCTCCCCTCCCAAGTGATGGGACTAAAGATGCGTGCCACCATACTTGGCTACTTTAAATTTTCAAATTTTAGTCAGGCATGGTGGTCCATTCTTTGTCAACTTGACACACAGTCATTTGTCCTTATATCATGCTTAATTTCCAAATGAAAACAAATGCCAGGTCATAATTGTGTCTAACATGAAATAACTATCTCTGGTTCACTGCAAACACATTTATGAATTTCAGTATAGGTGACAGAGTCTCCTGAGGGACATTATTTTAGTATCTCTACCTTAAATAATCACTGATAATTGCTGTTACATTACATAGTGTAGAAAATAAGGAAACAACAAAAACACATTCTTAACGATATGACAGAAACACTCAAGTCAATCAAAATTCTTCCTGCAACTAGTCATGTGGCCTTAGCTGGTATTTACCACTGCTTTCCTCTACTATTCAGTTGTATTTCCTCCACCCTCAGTAAGCAGGGTGGCTCTCTTCCTGGAGGAGTGACTCAAACTTTCATTCCTGAGGGGAATGTGTGCTTTGTCATCCTGCCTGGGTTAGGTTGTTGTAGTTTCCCATTGACTTTCATCACACGACATGGTGGCAACAAGAAAGGCCCTAGAGGATCTCCTCCACTCCAGACATAATCTTTCTTACCTCCCTTGTGGAGGATCAAGGTTTCCTCTTGGTAATCTGGATTAGTCACCTCTCCTAACACTGTTACTTCTGTCACAGTCTGTTGGCTTCGGGCATCGGAAGCCTTAAGGGGGAAGTCAGAGCTTCAGTTGAGTGAGAGATCTGTTGTGTCTCATTGCAGAACACTTCCCCCATCTGGAACCAAAACTTCTATGCCAGCAGAATTTAAGGTCATGGGAACAGGAAGCAAAAAAATTCCTAGTGGGTGACTAGGGGTGATATTAAGTGGAATTATTCCATTTTCTACTCCTTGATTTCTGAACCTATAGATCTTGGCTATGGGAAACACAGCATATATTGAACACTGATCCAAAGCATATACTGTCTTCAGGAGAACCCTGCCCCAGCCCTCCATGCTGTTACCACCTAACTGGCACTATAACTGTGTCTTCAAAGGCTGTTCCATCTTTCTATTAGGCGAGCTGCTTCAGAATGCTAGGGAACCTGGTAAGACCAGTGGATTCCAAGTCATAGGCCAACTGTCGTGTTTCTCTGGCTATGAAGTGAGTTCCTTAGTCAGAAACAATACCGTGTGGGATACCGTGATGGTGGATGAAGCATTCTATTCTGTAAGTCCACAGATGGTGGTTCTGGCAAAGCTTTATGTGCAGGAAAGGGTAAATCTATAACCAGAATAGGTATCTATTCAAAACATTGTCCTTTTCACAGAGGAAGTGGTTCAGTGTAGTCAGTCTGTCACCAGGTCACTGGCTGGTACCATATCTAGGGCTCAGTATATTGATATCAGTATATTGATCTCTGCTGTTGGCAGATCTGGTACTCAGCAGCAGCTGTAGCCAGGTCAGCCTTGATGAGTGGAAGTTCATGTTGTTGAGGTATGCACCATAGCCACTTTGTTCATGTGCCCATTGGGGAATGATGGGGACGGCTGGGGAAAGAGGCTGGCTATCCACAAGACAGGTCGTCCTATCTGCTTGGTTACTGAATGCCGCCTCTGCTGAAGTCACCTTTTGATGGGCATTTACATGGAACACAATCTTCACATCCTTCACCCATTTGGAGAGGTCTGTGCCATGCTTCTTCCCCAGATGTCTTTCTCACCCATTCTTCAACCACGCTCTTTCCAAGTCCTGACCATCCAGCTAGTCCATTAGCTACAGCCAATGAACCAGTGAGCAACTGTACATCTGGCCGTTTCTCCTTCCAAACAAAATGTATGACAATGTGCACTGCCTCAAGTTCTGCCTACTTTGACGGTTTGCCTTCACTGCTGTCTTTCAGATTTGTCCCAGAGGGGTTGTAATGCTGCACCTGTCCACTTATGGGTGGTGCCTGCATAACGTGCAGAACCATCAGGAAATCAGGCCCTAGTCTTCTCTTCCTCAGTCAGCCAATCATAGGGCACATGCCTGGCAGTAGAGAGTATTGTAATGAGAGTAGAAACCATAGGCATTTGGACAATCTCATGTCCCTTGTTTGTGCATTCAGGACCTGCTCAGGCCTGATTGTATATATACCACTTCCACTTGATAATGGGTTGCTGCTGTGCATGCTCTACTATGACATGGTGTGTCAGATAACACCCAGCTCATGTTGGGCAGCTGGTAACTTGGTAGCCCATTGTCAAATGTTCAGTTTTGGTTTGTTTTTTTTAATTTATGTGTGTACACTGTCATGTCCTCAGAAGAGGGCATCAGATCCCATTACGGATGGTTGTGAGCCACTATGTGTTTGCTGGGAATTGAACTCAGGACCGCTGGAAGAACAGTCAGTGCTCTTAACCGACGAGCCATCTCTCCAGCCCCAAATGCAGTTTTCATTAAGGCCCAAGTGCAGACCAACAGCTGTCTCTCAAAAGAATAGTTATCTGTAGATAATGGTAGAGCCTTGCTCCAAAATCCCAAAGGTCTCTTCTGTGAGTCACCCACAGGGGCCTGTCAAAGGCTGCAAACAGCATCCCTGTCTGCCATTGACACGTCAAGTACCATCGGGTATGCCGGGTCATGTGGTCCAAGTGGTAGAGCAGCCTGGACCTGTTGAAGAGCCCTCTGTTCCAGGCCCCATACAAAGCTAGTAGTTTGGAATCACCCAATACATGGGTGGGAGTAATCACCCAAGTGAGGAATGTGCTATCTACAGGATCCGAATAGATCCACTGAACATTGTGCTTCTCTCTTGGTAGTGGGAGGGGCCACTGCAATAACTTATCCTTCACCTTAGAACAAATGTCTCTGCCTGTCCCACACCACTAGACTCCTAAGAATTTCACTGAGGTGGAAGGCCCGTGAATTATGTTTAGATTTATTTCCCATCTCTGATGGGAAACTAAAGGCTTCCAGTTAGCCTTTCCAGCCATAACAGCCCTCACTCCACAGGCCAGGGAACTAGTGTGAGAATCCTGCCAACGTCTAAGTATATCTATCCCATTTATACATTCTGGAACTGGGGAAATAACCAGAGGATGAGTTTGGGGACCCAGTTGGACTTCAGCCAAAACTCCATGACTCATCTGACCTCCATAAGCTCCGACTTTAATTGGAGGACAACAATGTGCTGGGGGTTCCCGGAAGCAGAACCAGTATCCAATAGACCCAGCTAATCGGATTGCTTCCTTTGCCCTACCATACAGTTCCCCTTGGAAAAGACCACAGGTCACTCTGGGAAAGGACGAGAAGGGCTAAGAGTAACATTTTTAGGCATTTTATCAAGGTCCTTCATCCATGGTCATCTGGGTCTGCAAACTGGCTTAAGTGTGGAAATCAGTTCATGGCCCGAGATCTCCTTTTGCCATGATTTTCTTTCATTTGAGAGATTTTTTTTTCTGTTTATACAGCTGCTTTAAAAAAAGATGCAGTAGGCTTCTTGTCCATTTCGTGCCTGAAGTACCACGATAAGCCAGTACCAAAGCTCCATATGAGTCATGCCATTATAAAAGTCGCCTTACCTGTGCTGGCCACCACAGATTAGACCATTGTGGACACTGCTGTCTGCTTCCCATGATACCTTGCCTTTGGTGAGTCAGTGCTGCCACCTGCCGCTGCTACTCGGGGCCTGATTAAACTCAGGCCTGATCAGCTTGCGTTTATTTAATTCATCCATTTGAGCAGCAGCATCCCCGACCCTAAAGTCTGGCACAGGAAAGGGCAACAGCAAAGCTTGTCAGACGTGCTGGTGCCCTCTCACCATTTTGCAGCTCACAGAATTAGTGAAGGGCATTAGTGATTAACTGAGTTACCAGTAGTGTTGGTGTCACACTCAGATGTAAAAGCACTTCCTCTTGGAGTCGTGTAAGAAGAGTGAGTGCAGATGGGAATTCCCTACACAGTGCTGTCTCGTGAGCCTGAATCTGTGCCTGCCCGAGGACTGCCGCGGGAATCTTGTGTCTCTCCTTGTGTGTGTTATGTAACGTGGGGTCTGTATGTGTCTTATGTGTGGGAGTGGTGTCTGTCCCTAACGAAGGGCTTTGCTCTGTCTTTACGGAGCAGCATAGAAAGCACCACATGGGAATGGGGTAAATCTTTGTTTTACAAGGGATTACATCCCTGATTCTAGCTGATACAGATAACACATATTATCAACCAAATAATATGGATTTTAGGAAGTTGTTTTCAACTTCTGTACTTGCTTTCAGTAAATGGTACACATGCATTACCCTGAGTCAAGGGCATCGAAAAATACATAAGATTAGAGCTATTCATTAGCTCTGGTTGTAAAAGTCGGGTTACTTAGTATACCCAAGGCATCTAAGGTTGGGTATTACGTTGTTCTCTTAAAGGCAGGTTAAATAAAGTTTGAGGGTACAGTAATGCTGGCACTCTTAAATTTCAAGTGACCTTAAAATATATTAACTTTGCTGTGAAGTCCCACAAAAGCTTGTCTCTTAGAATGTAAAATATTTTCAGAATATTGCATTGCCATGTGTCTGTGCACCACATCTGTGCCTGGTGCTCTTGGAGCCCAGAGGAGGGTATCTGATCCCCTGGGACTAGGGTTACAGTGATGAGATGCCAAGCGGGTTCTGAGAATCAAACCCAGGTCCTCTGGAAGAGTAGCCAGTGCTCCTAACCACTGAGCCTTCTCTGCAGCTCCTGTGTGTTATACTGTCAGATAAGTGGTTTTCAAAGATGGTCTTAGTCTGTACTGGTTTTGTTTTTGATTACTCAGTGGGTTAACTTTGGTTTTGTTTTCTTGGGTTTGTTTTTTCTAGACAGGGTTTCTCTGTGTAGCCCTGGCTATCATGGAACTCTCTGTAGACCAGGCTGGCCTCAAACTCAGAGATCCTCCTGCCTCTGCCTCCTTAGTGCTGGGATTAAAGGTGTGCGCCACCACCTGGCTGGGTTTGTGTTTAGTTTTTTTGTGGGGGTTGGGGAGAGGATCCTGCTGTATAGCTGGTGTTGTCATGGAAACTATATAGGTCAGGCTTACCTTGAAATCATGGCCCTCCTACTTCAGCTTCCCATGTTCTGGGATTACAGGTGTGCACCACCATAGCAAATACCATCTTTTGAAATTATCAGAGCATGAAACTCCCTCATTCTCTTCATCTCCTCTTAATGTTGAGAGGGCCACGGCGCCCACACCCTTAACCCAGCGGCACTCGGGAGGCAGAGGCAGGTACCCTCTGTAAATTCAGCTACAGATAGGGCTACATAATGAGGCAGGCTCAGGCCCTTTCCTGTGTGTGCTACAGCATCTGTGTTTTGGTTTTCAGGAGTTGGTTCTCTTCTTCCATCACATGGGTTCCAGGGACTGAACTCAGGTTGGCAGCGTTGATGACTGGTTCACCACCGAGTCTTACTGCCAGCCCCCTTTCCTTACTCCATGTGTAATAACATATACACAATAAAGTGCTACAGAGGAGCATAGCTCAGCTAATACTGTGCTTGTCCTGCATCCTTGAGCTTGACCCCTGGTCCCCTCCCCACCCCAGAAAAGGAACGGTGTGTAGTGTGAGCTCTGTGCAGACCTGGGTGGGTTAAGAAGTGAACTACCGGGCTGGGGAGATGGCTCGTTGGTTAAGAGCACTGACTGCTCTTCCAGAGGTCCTGAGTTCAATTCCCAGCAACCACATGGTGGCTCACAACCATCTGTAATGGGATCCGATGTCCTCTTCTGGTGTGTCTAAAAATAGCAACAGTGGACTCACACACATAAAATAAATCTTCAAAAAATTATTAAAAAAAAAAGACACAGGTCTAAAAACGAAGTGAGCTACCTGCTCCCTGTAATGCCAGCTCAGTTGAGCCCTTCTTGGGGAGCTGTTTTTCTTAAGTTACATTTTAAAATTTTGTGTGCATGGGTGAGGGTTGGGGACATGTGCCATAGTGTACACGTAGAAGTCAGAGGACAACTTGCAAGGGTCAGTTTTCTCCACCACATGGTGAGGAACTCTCTTCAGACGTGACAGTAAGCACCTTTACCCAGGCAGCCATCTCACTAGCCTTTGTGTTCAGATTACATTAGCTGGTGGCAGTATAAGGGAGTCTTACTGGCAGATAGCAATGTGGCACTCTTTAGCAATACTTACCTAGCCGTGGCTCGTAGGCTAGCTGTAGCTTTCCCAAAAGCTCACTGACCCCTCATTTGGAAAGTCATTGACAAGGTCATGAGCAGCGTAGGAAACACAGGGCTCAACGCTGTGGTGTGTTGGGCTTCGTCAAAGTGTGTATCCAGTGCTCAGTGTTTGACAGGACTGTGATTGATGGAGCGGATGCTCGGGTATTTTCTGCTTCTGGCTTTACCGCTTGACTGCCAGCTCTCGGGAGTTGGTTAAAGCAGGCAGATCTGTTAGATGGATAGAGTGAGTGTCCTCACCTGATCCAAGGCAGCTTGGTGTGGAAGGGAGGAGAGAAATGTCCTTAGCACATGTCCAGGACAAACCAGAGCAAGTGCATGTAAGAACCTGTACGTAGGCCTAGTTAAAATCTGGTGCAGTGGCAGGGAGGATCTTGATGCTAGGCCTCAAAATGCCTGCTTTTGAGTTCTCCCGACCTACACTAGGAGCAGTCTGGTGTCGTTAGAGTCACTGCTGCTCTGCAGACTCTTCCTGGACACTTCCCTCAGCTCTCCTCATTTATCACTGCTTTTCCTTTTTTTTTTTTTTTTTTTTTGAGGCTGAGTCACTTTATGGCGGTGGTTCTTAACCTGTAGGTCTCAACCCTTTTTGTGGTATTTAGATACAATTCATAAGAATAGCAAGATTAGTTATGAAATAGCAACAAAATAACTATGATTTGAGGTCACCACAGCATTAAGAGGGTTGAGAACCACTGTTCCACTGCTGTGTAGTCCTGGCAAACTCTATGAGGACCAGGATGACCTCTCACTCAGAGATCGCCCTGCCCTGCCTTCCGAGTCCTGGGATTAAAGCTGTGTACCAGGCTTCAGTGCGTTGTTCAGGGATTCCCTGAGAAAGCATGAGAAATGCACTTCAGACCTTGTGTTTTTGAAAGGTCTTCATTTTCCTTTGTCATTTGACGTAGGCCTCTGCAATCAGTGTGGATTTGTCTCTTTCTAGTTTTATTTTTGATCCCTGATTAGATCAAAATTTGTTATGTAGACCAAGCTGGCCTCAAAGTCAGATCCGCCTGTCTCTACCTCCCAAGTGCTGGGGTTCAGGGTGTGCACCACCACACCTGTCCTGAAGAACATCCTCATTGTTGAGAGCTGTGACAAACACTGGGCAAACAGCACAGTTGGGGCAGTGAGCATGGCAAGAGTAACTTTTCCTGTATCCTTTCTGTCTCCCAGAGTTAATCACTTTAGAAGGAAATGTGTCATTTCAGGGATCCGTTTCATTCACTGATGTAACTGTGGACTTCACCCAGGAGGAGTGGGAGCAGCTGGACCCCTCGCAAAGGATTCTGTACATGGATGTGATGCTGGAGAACTATAGCAACCTGCTCTCAGTGGGTAAGCACAGCGGGGGAAATGGCTCTGTAAGCTGGAATGGTAGGAGTTGGAGGCAGTGTACTCAGAATGGTCAGGTCAGAACTCTCTAGGGGAGCTACAAGGAGGAGAAAGAAAAACTGGTGGAAGTGATAGCTGAGGTTTTGAACAGTTTGAGTACATTTGAGGTTTATGGGATTTTGTTTGTTTTTAAGACAGGATCTCACTTGTGTGGCCCTAGCTAGTCTTGAACTCAGAGATCACAGGCCTCTAACCTTCTTGCCCCAGTACGGGGCAAAAGATGCATGTTGTGAAAGGATGCATCTATCCCAGCCTAGTCTTGAACCCAGTATGTAAGCCACGTGTAGAGTTTCCAATCCTCCACTTGTACCTCTCAGGTACTGCAATCACAGGCATGCACTGCTGTTCCTGGTCTTACATGGTGCTGGGGATGGAGCCCAGGCATCTTTAGGTATGGCAGGTAGGCACTCTGCTAACAGAGATGCATTTCCAGTCTTCTTTGGAACTATTCTTCAATTCCAAAAACCTTTAGAGATGACTGAGAACTCAGAGTGACCTGTGCTTCTGATCCCTGGCACACTTCCAAATATTCATCTCTCCATAGTTACCAGTGCTTGCCTAAGGCACTAGTGCTGGGAGTTAGCATTATGTTCTCAGTTTACCAGAATGATGACCTGGTATTTAACCCATGGGAATTGGCACAGATTTTTCAATACAAGAATGACATGGTTTTAGACAGCAGCAGGATCATAAGGAGTAGCTATTACTACATCAAGGCTTTTAAAGTCTAGACCAGGCAGAGTAAGGACTCTTTACATCTGTTCAGGTGAAGTAAGGTCATAGTAGAAGGATGAAAACACATCCGCGGTCAGCAGAGCTTTGCTGTAGGAAAAGCTGTAAACACAGCATACGATTGTGTTGTAAGGACACAGACTTTTCATTTTCAATACAGTGAACTCTGGGATCTTTGCTGTTGGTATGTGAGACAGGGTCTCTCTACTTAGTGATGACTGTCCTGAACTCACTCTGTAGACCAGGCTGGCCTCAGACTCACAGAGATCTGCCTGCCTCTGTTTCCTAAGTGCTGGAATTAAAGGTATGTGCCATTCTGTCCAGCTAACTCCAAGATCTTGCTGTCTGCTTGAGAGGTGTCTCCAGAGACTTGGAGCACTGCAGTGTAATCATCTCTTCAGGCCTGTGAGAAAAGCTCACTTTTAAAGTTATTTTGTGAAGCTGGAGAGTTGACTTATTGATTAACAGTGTATAACTCTCTGCTTTTGCCAGAGGACTTGAGTTTGCTTCCCATTTTCCATGTGTGACAGCTCACAACCACCTGAACCTCTGACTCTGGTGTCACCTATACTGTACACAAACATTTTTTTTTAATATTTTTTGGACCAGTGAGGTGGCTCAGTGGGTGGGTGCTTGCTTCCACATCTGATGTCCCGGGTTTGATCCCTAGGGCCTATATTGTGGAGGGAGAGAACTCCAGGCCCTTGTCTCTGACCTCCCTCACATGCCATTGGGTGTAGGTAGTGTTGCACACTTTAATCCCAGCACTGAGGAGGAGAGGCAGGTGGATCTCTGAGTTCAAGGCCAGCCTGGTCTACATGGAGAGTTCCAGAACAGCCATGGCAATCTCCAAAAAAAGGGATGGTGGTGAGCTGCAGCTATAATTTAATGATTAAGAGTACTGGCTATTCTTCCAGAGAACATAGGAATTATTCCTAGCTAACAGCCTTCTGAAACTCCTGTTCCAGAGGATCTGGTGCCCTCTTCTGGTCTGTGTGGGCACTGCAGACATGTACTCAGACATAGCACGCAGGTAAAACACCCATACATATACATAAAAGTAAATAATTCAGGCTGGAGAGATGGCTCAGTGGTTAAGAGCACCAACTGCTCTTCCAGAGGTCCTGAGCTCAATTCACAGCAAGCACATGGTGGCTCACAACCATTTGTAATGGGATCCAGTGCCCTCTTCTGGTGTGTCTGAAGACACCTACAGTGTACTCATATATATAAAATAAATAAATAAATCTTAAAAGTAAATAATTCTTTTTTTTTTTTTTGGTTTTTTGAGACAGGGTTTCTCTGTGTAGCCCTGGCTGTCCTGGAACTCACTCTGTAGACCAGGCTAGCCTCGAACTCAGAAATCCGCCTGCCTCTGCCTCCCAAGTGCTGGGATTAAAGGCGTGCGCCACCACTGCCCGGCTAAATAATTCTTTTAAAAATTATGTATGGGTGTTTTGCCTGCCTATATGTCTGTGTGCCATGTGTGTGCCTGGATACCCTCAGAAGCTAGAAGAGACCATTGGAATCCCCTGGAACTGGTGTGACAGGGCTTGTAAGCCACTATGTGGGTGTGGGGATTGAACCTAGATCCTCTGGAAGAACAGTTGGTGCTCTTAAGTTCTGAACTATCTCTCCAGTCCCATAGTTTTTTTAAAATAAGTTATTTGCAGGGCTAGGAGAGTATACAATTGCCCACAGAAATGCTGGATTGCCGTCTCCGTGTAGTTCCATCTTTGGAAGGATAGTAAGACTAAGCAGCACATCAGTGAGCTCTGGGTTTGACTGAGGACCCTGCCTTATTGAATAAGGTAGAAGAACAGTAAAGGATGGCTGCTGATGTGAGCCATGAGTCTCCACCTGCACGTGCACCCACCCACATACATGTAAACATGTGTACCTACACATCACATATACATATGTGAACATGAGAAAAGGTTTTGAGTTATTTGGGGGCTGGTGAGATGGCACAGAGTATAAAAGGCCCTTCTATAAAATCATCATGACTTGAGTTATCACCAGAACCCTGGGAAAGTCAAAGAGACCCGACTGTAGAGTCCTCTGAGCTCTACTCCCTCCCCATATGTTTTGTTTCTTTCTGTAGACAGGGTTTGGCCTGGACTCACTGTGCAGACTGTCCTAGCCTCAGACTCATAGAGATCTACCTGCCTGGATTCAAGCTGTGCTGGGATCACAGGTGTGGACAAATGCCTGCCCATTGTTGGTTTAAGTTCTTTTGATGTAAGAGGTGTAGTTCAGGTGGTAGAATGCTGGCCGAGCATGCATGAAGTCCTAGGTTGGATTCCTAGCAGTCCATAATAAGCCAGGCATGGGGCTACACACTTGTGATTCAGGTACTTGTGATACAGAGGCAGGGGGATCTATAGTTCAGAGTATCCTTCGTTACATATGAAGAGGAACCCAGCTTAAGATACATGAGACCCATTCCCAAAAAGATTTTAAAAGTCAGAACAGGAGAAATGGCTCAGTAGTTAAGTGTACTTACTTGTAGCTGGGAAGTGGTGGTGTTTGTCTTTAATCTGAAGCAGGCAGATCTCTGTGAGTTTGAGACTTCCGTGGTCTACAGAGTGAGTTCCAGGACAGCCAAAGCTATAGAAAAATCTTGTCTCGAAGAAAAAGAAAAAAAGAGTACTTACTTGCTGCTCTTCCAGAGGACCTGGGTTCAGTTTCCAGCACCCATATCATGATTCACAGCCATTTGTAACTTCAGCTCCAGGGACTCTGGCACCTTCTTCCTGGCCTCCGTGGATCCTAGGCAAACACATGGTACACAGCCATACATACATCATACATACATACATACATCATACATACGTACATACATCATACATATGTACATACATACATCATACATACGTACGTACATACATACATCATACATACATACATACATCATACATACGTACGTACATACATACATACATACATACAAGCAAAATACCCACATATATTAACAGAAAGGTTATTTGGGGTCCGTTGTTAAAACAAATGCCTGTAATAAAGAGGATTGCTGACAGTTTTAGGCTAGCCTGGTCTGCATAATGAAACCCAGTCTCAAAAAGGGGGAGAATAATATAGATGTGCAGAGAAGACTGATGCCAGGGTCACTGTCAGCTGGAGCGGAGGCGTCAGTCTCTAACCTCTGTTCTCCCCAGGCCTGGTCACTCAGTGTCACCTCACCTACATAGGTTCTTGGTTTCTAGGCTAGCTGTTGGTTGTCCTTGAGAGCACTGGGAAATCTTCATCCCTCAACTGCTAGCTTTCCTATGTCATCTTACCCTCACCTTTATTTTTGATTGTGACCACATGGATGAAGAAAGTTGTTGAGAGGCTTTCTGCATAGTCCAGACTGTGGGTAGTCCAGACTGGCCTCAAACTCAGGCTGGTCTTCTCAACTCAGCATCCTGAGTGTTAGAATTATAGGAGCAAGCCACAGTATCCCAGCTTTCACCATTGTTTTTTGGTTTTTGGTTTTTTTTTTTTTCTGCCCAGTTTTTTGTTTGGTTGGCTAGTGTTTTCCAGATAGGGTTTCACTATGAAGCCCTGGCTGACATGATGTGAAGACCAAGCTGGCCTTGAACTCACAGAGATCCACCTGCCTCTGCCTCCTGGATACTGGGATTAAAGGTATATGCTACCACTACCTAGCTTTTTTCTCCCACTTTAAGGTTATTTTGTCCTCAGGAAAACACACTCACTCACACACACACACACACACAGATTGAGAGAACAGAGCTTTAGAGATGAGAAAGGCTTGCAGTGGGGATTTTTGTTGGACAGCCGAGTCAGCGCTGTGGTGGGAGCACTTGTGGGGATTTCCCACTCTAACAGAGAGAGACTAAGAGCCTTTCATTGTGCTTTGTCCTAGAAGTGTGGAAGGCTGATGACCATGTGGAGAAGGCCCCCAGAGACCCGCATAAGCAGGCGAGGTCACTTACACCCCTCAAGAACCAACCACCAACTGAAGAAAGAGGCAGTCTCTTTGGAAAGACATTAAATCTGAACACAGACTTTGTTTCGTTAAGACAAGTTCCCTATAAATATGATTTATATGAAAAAACTTTGAAGTTCAGTTCAGACTTACTTAGCAGTAGAAGCTGTGTAAGAAAGAAAGGAGACGGGTGTGGTGGGTTTGGAGAACCACTTCTGTACCTGAAGCAAGACAAGCCTCACGCTGGGCTCGAGTACTCAGAATATAACGGAAACGGGAGGGCTCTCAGCCATAAGGACGCCATCTTTAAACATCAGAAAATCAAGAGCTTGGTTCAGCCCTTCGTCTGTAATTACTGTGACAAGGCCTTCTCCTTCAAGTCACTACTTGTTAGTCACAAGAGGATCCACACAGGAGAAAAGCCCTATGAGTGTAATGTGTGCCAGAAAACCTTCTCCCATAAGGCCAACCTCATCAAACATCAGAGAATTCACACCGGGGAGAAGCCCTTTGAATGTCCTGAGTGTGGGAAAGCATTTACCCACCAGTCCAACCTCATCGTGCACCAGAGAGCACACATGGAGAAGAAGCCCTATGGATGCAGTGACTGTGGAAAGACGTTCGCTCAGAAGTTTGAACTTACCACACACCAGAGAATCCACACAGGAGAGCGGCCCTACGAGTGTAGCGAATGCGCAAAAACCTTCTTTAAGAAGTCAAACCTCATCATCCATCAGAAAATTCACACCGGGGAGAAACGCTACGAATGCAGCGAGTGCGGGAAGTCCTTCATCCAGAACTCGCAGCTCATCATCCACAGGAGGACTCACACTGGGGAGAAGCCCTATGAGTGCACAGAGTGTGGCAAGACCTTCAGCCAGAGGTCAACGCTCAGGTTACACCTGAGGATCCACACGGGAGAGAAACCCTACGAGTGTGCGGAGTGTGGGAAAGCCTTCAGCAGGAAGTCTCGACTCAGTGTCCACCAGAGGGTTCACACGGGATAGTCCTGAGGCTACAGGTAGACTGCTGCAGAAACCTGGCAGACCAGAATTCTTCCCGTGACGGGGACTCCCTCATGAAGATACTGAAGGAGCTTTGGAAATTCTATTGAGATGTAATTTATCTAAAAAAACTTTAGAAAAAAGGATACCTAAGAATATTATACTGAGGGCTGGAGAGATGGCTCAGAGGTTAAGAGCACTGACTGCTCTTCCAGAGGTCCTGAATTCAATTCCCAACAACCACATGGTGGTTCACAACCATCTGTAATGGGATCCGATGCTGCCTTCTGGTGTGTCTGACAGCTATAGTTTACTCATAAATAAAATATTCTTTTTTTTTTTTTAAAGATCATACTGAAAGTTATAATATCCAGCTAAAGAGCACATATCCAAATATATTAATGTATTTCAGTACATACAGTCCAGATCCAGTTGTAAATAGACACACCCAGCTCTGCTTCCCTGAGCTTTTTTGGCTTTTTGTGCTCCTGGGAATCACATCTAGGGTCTCGTCTGTGCTAGGCAAGATTCTTCTCTTTCTTTTTTTTAAAAACACTGATCTTTATCTGCAGTCCACAGTGATTTTTTAAGAATCTTGAATGACTTGAATATTTTAAGAGGAAATATAAAGCATATATAGACGGTACCTTAGAAATTTTTATGTAAGGATATGCCACAAAATACAAATTGTTTTAAATCTGTTTACATAAGTTTAATAGCTACTATAAATTTGAAATTCTCACCTATGATAATTGCATCGCAGCAAAAGGTTTCCAAACTCAACATCATGTGTGTCTCAGTATCTTTCCCATCCAGCATGCATCCAAAGGAAAAATGTGATGGACCTTAAAGTAGCACGGAGCCCATCTTCCTCTACAGCTGCCTCATACAGGCTGATGTGACCATTGTTACTGAGCTGCCTGGTCACTAAAGCAAAGGCAGTATTGTTGGAGTTCTAACCTGCTTCTGGGTCTGAAGATTTTCTAAAGTATTTATATAAATGTGCAAAGGTCTTAGATAATTCAGATCTAGAGAGAAAGGAGGCAGGTGTGCTCTGACTGTGTACACTACAGAATAGAGAGATGGCTCTGACTCGGTGTGCACTACAGAATAGACCTGTGCTCTGACTGTGTGCACTACAGAATGGACCTGTGCTCTGTGTGCACTACAGAATAGACCTGTGCTCTGACTGTGTGCACTACAGAATAGACCTGTGCTCTGACTGTGTGCACTACAGAATGGACCTGTGCTCTGACTGTGTGCACTACAGAATAGACCTGTGCTATACTGTGCAGAGAGTGTCCTCGTCTCTCATGCTCCTCTTCTTTCTCTGAGGTGTTTACATACACGTGCATGTCTATTTCCAAAATAATGTGTACCCCAGAAAACTATTTTTGTATGTTTCTGTCTTCCTCTTATGAATTGTCCTTCCAAAAAAAAAAAAATGATCGGGGTGCCCATGTAACTCTCAAATGTTATATTTCACAGACTTTAAAGAAAAAACCTGAAGAGCTGTGCTTCACTGCTTTTTATAGTTTCCATGTGCATGATCCACTTTAGAAATTGTTTCTGCTTTCTCCCCATATAGCACTGCCCTTTGGAACCTGCCACAGAATTAGCCGTCGCCTTATCTTTTGACGTTCACAAGATTTGAGGCTTATGGTTCCATAGGATTAGAGTCCATGACCATGAGAGGATAAGGCCCATTCTCATTCAAACTGCCGTGATACATTAGACTTCAGTGGTCTCTATGTGTTGGCGCACACCTTTAATCCCAACACTTAGGAGGTAGAGGCAGGCAGATCTGAGTTTTAGAGCAGTCTGGTCTACATAGTAAGACCCTGTTGGAAAATAAACAATGTTTGTCCATAACTGAAAGATGGTAATTTGAAGCTTGGTTTCACATCATAAGTTGAACTTTTTTATTATCCATTAGAATTATAAATGGAAACCACACTAGATTTTAATATTTTATATTCATGGGTGTTTTGCCTGCATGTTTGTCTGTGGACATGTACATGCAGTGCCTATAGAGGTCAGAAGAGGGCGCTAGAGCCCCTGAGACTGGAGTTAGAGACAGTTGTGAGCCAACCTGTGGGTACTGGGACCTGAACCCTGGGTTCTCCGGAAGAGCAGCCAGCGCTCTTAACAATTGAACCATCTCTCCAGCCCCTTGGATTTTTATTTTTGAAAATAGTTGATTGTCTCTTAAAATTAAAAAAAAAATACACACTCACATTCTCATCATACCACAAAGTTCATTCGTAGCGATCCGATTTAAAAAAAAAAAAAAAGTGCCACTACTAAGATTTTATGTTAACTGAGTTATAGCACAGTTTTGGTTTAGAAAAATTTACCATTTAGAAATGAGTGACTAGGCTGGGCATGACGATGCACTCCTTATGCCACAGCACTGGGGAGGCGGAGGCAGACAGCTGAGTTTGAGGCCAGCCTGGTCTTACAAAGAGTTCCAGTACAGCAGGACTGTCTTGAGGGGAAAAAGTGACTAAAAGCCAGAATGAACTCTGGCTGGATGCGTTTTCACTGAACAGTGTAGGAGGGAACTCCCAGATCAGATGAGAGCATACAAGCGTATGACATTTTCTGTTTTTTTTTCAAATAAAGATCCAGGGACCTTACATCCGTATGCTTGGGAATCTCTGTCTCCCCTCCTTGGCTCTGGAGTTAGAGGAAGGAGCCAGCTTTTTATGTGGCTGCACCTCACAAAAGGATAGCACCTCACAAAACTATACCCCCAGTCCAGCATGTTTTCTTTATGACATTTTTATATCTGTCTTGATCTTTGAACCCTGCACCTCTGACTCGTCAGTCCTGGCACATTTGGTGGCCTAGGCAGAATACAGCACAGCCACGGAAAACCATGGTTTCCAGTCTTTCGCTCTCAGAGGCTGCATCTACCCTAACTCGGGCAAGGCCTTGTCCGCAATATAGGCGTTCAGCTCTCATTTAACCAAGAGCAAGGTCCAGGTCTGCGTTCTCGACTTCAAGTCCTGTGTCTTCCATCCTCCCCTGACTGTTGTAGGAGACTGAATCTGTCCCTGTAGCTGTGTCTGTCCATCTGTGTCCCTTACAAATGGTTTTTCTCTGTATTTGTGGACATCACAGGAAGCATCACATGGGAAGGAGTGAGGGATACTTCACACGGGATCAAGCCACGGACTCCAGCTAACCCCGACAACATCATTCTTTATGCAGCAGTCACTGTATGTGTGTGGTATTCATGGTGGATGGCCATTCCACAGGATCGCCTCAACCTCTGCTTGATTACTTTTGGGAAGTCATTACTGGGGTCACGGGTGTGGAATCCAATTTAAGATTACAGGTTGTAGAGGGAATGTAAGCAGAAGTCCAATGCCAGGAAGGTTGGACGGTATCCTTCTCTTAAAGGCTGAGTACACAGTAGGATACCAGTCTTCATTCTTTTCTGTTTGTTTGTTTTTCGAGACAGGGTTTCTCTGTGTAGCCCTGGCTGTCCTGGAACTCACTCTGTAGACCAGGCTGGCCTGGAACTCAGAAATCCACCTGCCTCTGCCTCCCAAGTGCTGGGATTAAAGGCGTGCACCACCACTGCCCAGAAAAGTACCAGTCTCTTAAGAGATATTATAATCCATTGGCACTGGCAGTCCTTTATGCTGTGAGTCTAGACTATTGTCTACCAAGGTACAATCTGAGGTATTCATTTGGAGCCTTGTGGAAAGCCTTACTTCCTGTTTACACGTAGGTGACACATAAAGACCAGAACAGCCTGTGTGTTCTGTAAGGTTGAGGACAATGACTCTTCTAAAAGCCTCTCATCTCAACAAGGTGTGTAGCTAGCCAAAGCAGCCCCTGAGGCAAAGCTGCATGCACTTCGAAGATTCTCTCCCCTCCTCCCCTCTCCTTTTCCCCAACCCCACCTTTTCAACCGTCCTTCAGATGCAGCGCCAGTGGCTAGAGCTGTCTGCGCATACTCTTTCCTAGCTGGTCTTCCTGTTCTAAGAGTCCTACAGAAAAAGACTGCCACAAGTTGGGGATTTAGCTCAGTGGTAGGCCTGGGTTCTGTCCTCAACTGGGAGTGGAGTGAGGGTGGGATGTGGGGAAACAAAATAGCAAAGACAGGAGGTGGTGGCGCACCCCTTTAATCCCAGCACTTCCGGGAGGCAGAGACAGAGGCAGGCACATCTCGGAGGTCCCCAAGATCAGCCTGATCTACAGAGCAAGTTCCAGGACAGCTAGAGCTACACAAAAACCCAATCTTAAAGAAGGAAAGAAGAGGCCTTTGTTTTTTTCCAGGATGTCCAGCCCCACCCTCCCTCAGGGCCAGTTCAAGACTAGTTTCCCTTTGTAAGTGGGTCCCTTGAGTTAGGTCAGCATGACCAAACTAAATGGTTTGGCTCTGGAGTGAGCCAGCTTCATCTCCACAAATGAAGATGGCGTCCATTTCCAGAACACTCCAGCTTAGAGCATGCCTCAGTCAAGGTTTGTGGTGAAACAGGAGGTGCACTGCCTCCCAACTGAATGTTGCAGTCTGGTAGGGCCCACCTCAGAGTCTCATGACCTCTACTGTTTAATCTGACTCATTCCTGGAATGTCTTCTCAACAATTGGCCTCAAGGAGCAGTTTAGAGCACTATTTGCTCTTCCAGAGGTCCTGAGTTCAATTCCCAGCAACCACACGGTGGCTTACAACTGTCTGTACCGGGATCTGATGCCCTCTTCTGGTGTGACTGAAGACAGCGACAGTGTGCTCATATAAATGAAAAGAGTTGGCCTCAGTTTGACCCCTAGATTCTAAAAAGGGAAAGGGGGGGGCACTTATTTTCCCTTATAACAAAGTTAAGGAAAATTTAAAACTCGGGTCAAGAATGCTGCCACCTCATGGCACACCACTGTATCACTGACTCTATGATGAGGCTTGTCATACTGAGGAAAGGACTCCGACCTCTTAGCCCAAGCCTTCATGGCCATGTTACAGGAAGTGGCTGAGGCCTTCCAGACTGCTGTGAGAAGGATGTCATATGCCTAACTAGATTCTCTCACACTCCCGTCTCCCCAACTCAGCCCCAGCTGACATCCTGATAACTGCACACTCAAGCCCCTGTTCAATCTGGTTTCTCTGCTGCCATCCTCCACCTGCTCCCTCCCCTTCCTTGAATGACTTCCTCTCCAGCTCTTCTTCCTTACCTGGTGTCATGGTGTCAGAGCTTAGCTGCCAACTTGACACAAACCTAGAGTCACCTGGGAAGAGGGAACCTCAGCTGAAGGACTGTCCAGCTCAGATTGTCCTGTGGCCATGTCTGTGGGGTATTTTCTTAATTTCTAATCTCAGGAAGAGTGTCAGTCCACTGTGGGTGGCACCATCCCTAGGTCCCTAGAGTCGGAGATGTAGAAAGAGGCAGCAAGCCAAAGGGAGAACAAGCCACTAGGCTTGTAGTTTCTGCTGCTTTTCCTACCTCCAGGTCCTGCGTAAGCTCCTGCTCTGACTTCCCTCAATGGTGGGTTGTGAACAGGCAGTAGAAGCCAGATAAACCTCCTCAAGGTACTTTTGGTCATTGTATTTATCAAAGCATCATCTTGATATGGAGTCTCCCTCACCCACTCGCTCCAGAACTTCACCCAGAGAACCCAGAGAGCATTAAGAAGCCACACCCTTTCTCTGAAAACACCCTTCCCCTTACAAGTAGCTAATGAGGACTTGGACACCATCTGGGTACACATCCTCTTCCCTGTATCTGACCTGTCCCAAATATATAGTCTAAACTACGACCATCTAACCAGAGGACCTTCGCTTCACTGTGGCTTTTGACCTAACCATACAAGACGCACACGCATGCACACGTCTGCTCGATAGTGTTCTCTTCATGAACAGTCAGGCCAGCCTCTATTGCTGTGTCTACTATGGAGTCCCACTGGTCCTGTCAGACTACTGGCATAAACAGTAGGGGAAAGGACCTGTTGAGACCATATGATGACCTACTTGTTAGAGGAGAAAACCACAAAGAACAGGGTTTCCAAGAAGCCTATACTCCTTAAATCTAGCTAGTTAAAACCATGCACAAGTGCATGAATCTGTGTCCAGAGACCAGGAACAAGCTGTCCCAGCTATACCTTTTATAAACCAAGGAAGCTCCGTCTCCAAATGTTAGACAAAGTATATAGACTCAGGACCCAAGGCTCTCCTCGATTGTTAGACACAGCATTCAAAGTCTTTAATATCCAAGAGGAGACCTAGCAAATCAACAAGGTTCCAACCGCAAGAGGAAAGATGACTGGCCAGTCCCGTTTATAGGTGGCTGCAGCAATTGCCTGTGCCAGCGCTTCCCCAGAAATCCCAGTGCTCTAACAGTCACCCAGTCCTATCCAAAAGGACTAAGTCAGCCTTGCCAACCAGGAGTGTCCAAAACCACTGGGCTACAATCCTCCCCTGGGGCCATGTCCAGTCTACAAAGTAGAGGTACATTGAAAGTACATTGTGAGAACAGGCCAGCCCCACCCAAGGACATCACACTCAGTC